TGAAGTTTAAACACCCAAAACACTAATCGCTTTGATCTATACTAATACACAAGTGAGAATAGTCTCTGACATGACCTGGTCTGCAAGCATCACATATTCACCTTTTGCTACCTTTTCTGTTTCTGTTAATCTTCCCGTACCTTACATTAAGGGGGAGGAATATAAAAATTGGAACTTACCATGTTCCATTAGTGTGTCTCTTCTTCTCTTAACTCCATCCTCAAAACCATCTGAGACTCCTCATTAATTTTTCAGTGAAACATTACCATACTTTGCCAGTAAATCAACCTTGATCTGAAATCCCAAGGTGGGGCTGCTTTGAGGACTGAGCAGGTAATTCGACTTCCATACACATTAAACACTTGAACCTCTATTAACTGTGCCAACAAATGTGCGTAGTCAGTACCTAACTGATTTTATTGTTAATGCTTCTACTAAGAACTTCACTTGGGTCTCTAGCTCATTTCACATTGGCCAGCAAACATCTCTCAGGTGGTAATGATTTTTTCAGTCTCTAGGCTAGGATTGATTTGAACTAGCAACCTAAAGTGTAAGAGTGCAGTTATCAACCTGACGAGCCTTACTGTACTCCTAGGCCATCAGTATAGAATTGGAGCTCATTATCTTCTCTGATTAAATAACCTAAGAGGCAGAAAAGCATTTCTAAAAGTATCTACTGATGGAAATTAAAGAAGTAGACAAAAAAAATGAAAGTAATAGCGCGCACAAAGTTCATAGAATACCATGACTAGCCTACTTGTTCCTAATATATATGTATAGTTAAGTTAGGCCTCTTACATTTTTCTATGAGGTCATGGTCATTAGTTGATGTGATATCATTAAAGGGGGGAACTTCTTTTGTGTGCAAGAAATTGATTTAATTAGATCAGTCACTGTTCCCTGAAGACTTGATTCAAAGCCCAGTGAAATCAGTGGAAAGACTCTCCTTGACTTCAGTGGGTTTTAGATCAGGTCTGTTTAAATATCCACTTGTCTAGAAATGTAATTAAATCTCAAAATTCCAACTGCCTGATTTGTGAAGGCATATATGAACCATGATGCTATTATTCTCCTATTTCTGAAAAACCTTAAACATTTGGAGATTACTCTCAAGAGACCATCATCAGTTGGAATACTTTGCCTCTCTGATTTTCTAGTTTCTTCTCCAGAGATGTCTCCCATTCATTCGGTTCACAAAGGGGATAATTCCCTACACAGCAGTGGAATTCATCAGCTACGATTACCAATACATTCAAGAGCATTAAGGAATACATTAAGGAATAATGATCTCTCTTATTTTCTCTCTCTCTCTCTCTCATGCGTTCAGCAGTTGCATCAGAAACATCATTATTTTCTGTGGAGAACTGAAAAGCACAACACAGCTTTTGTTATGATCTGAGCAGTACTACTTATACACTGAATATTTACAAATCCTGGTGTTTGTATCACCCAAAAGTACACAATTTCATTAACCACCCCCCCCCCCCCGTGATGGGGTGCCCCATTCACTGCTATGCTTGTACCTCCTTCTGGCCGCTCTTGGGATTAGCTCACGAGATCGACGCCCTTTCCCGGGGTCACACGCTGTCACTCTGTCTTTCCCTCTGGTCTGTAGCCCTCTCTCACTCCAGGAACTGCAGTATCCTTTTTGTGACTCGGCCCTCTGGCCAGGTCACTCAGCATTACCCCCTTCCAGAGTATAGGCTTTCAGAGTCTCTGTCACTCCTGCAGTGACCCGGGCAGTTCACTGTCCTGCTGGTGCCACTTTCCCAGTGGCAGGAAGGGGAATCCGGGCCAACTCTCTACTCCAGGGTTCCAGCCCAGGAACCCTACAACATGCAGCCAAGGTCTGTTCAGTTGCCAACCTTGCTGCTTATACCCTGGGCTGCTTCCTATCCTCCAGGAAGTCAGCCTCTCTACTGCCTCTTCCCAGGGAGCAAATGTGGGCTACTTGTCTCTGTAGCCCCCAAACACACCCCCTTCTCCCAGGAAGTGACTGCAGACTACCTTCCTGCTCTCAGCTCCCTGGCTTTATGGAAGCCCCATCTGTACCCACACAGAGGAGCTTCCTCTAATTAGGGCTTTCCTCTCAGACTTCAGCCTAATAGGTTATTTGGCCATCTGGCCTCCATTAACCCCTTCTGGGCGAGCGTGGGGTGAACACCCCAATCATACCTCCTAATTCTGTATGAATGTTTGTTTATAACTCACTTGCCTATTGCTTTCTAAATAACCTTTTTTTGTGCTATGAAGCATTGAAATACATCCCACTAATCACAGCAAAGGAGGAGACACCAATATTTAAAATGCCTTTTTCCTAGTACTGGTGTTACCTGGTGCTTCAGAACTGCAAATTAGCACCCCACTGCTTCAAACATGAACAGGAATAACTTTGCATATGTGGGTGGTGTCATTGACTACTCTCATGAGTAAAGTTACCCCTGTGCAAGTCTGCAGGATTGGGGCCTAGGGCAACAGAAAAAGGTGCTGTGAAAAATGCACCCAGAGAAACAGAGCATTTGGAATTCTATTACAGCAGTAGTTTTGGGGGTGATGTAGTGGTAATATAAATAAATTTTTATATGAAACTGGCAGTATTCTAATAATGTGATCCTTTACTAAAAGAGAACAGTCCTGAATTGAATGAGACTCTGGCAGTTTATCTGTCCATGAGACACATCTGTTGGTGCCTCATAAGGTCCAAAATACTGTGTACCACATATCTTATTTAGGGAGAAGAATGATTTTGAGTCATATAATCACAGTAGGACCCATTTATACCACTTTAGTAGTGTAAAGAAACGTTAAAATGGGCACCCATTTGTGTTCCTTGGTATGTTTGATGACTATTAGGGAAGGTGTAAGATATTTCAGACATTTTTCATTTTGTCCTGTTTAATTACAAAGATTTGCTGTGTAACTTAAAGGTGCTAAAACTGAGTCTTAAATATTTTCAGCTTCTAAAACTTCAGTGAGGAAAATTGTATCTTTTGCCAAGAGAATGATTGCGCAGGGAATAATATTTCATACTTCTCAAATTTTGCATGCAACAGATGAAGTGTGCATAAGAAAAGAAATGATTTAGTAAGTTGTGTGTTAGAGATGTACGTAATCTTGGCTGTCAGGTCAACAGATTTAATTCTTCTCAGAAATGCAAACCCTTTTAGGAATAGGAAGTGGTATTGCTCTTTCCTCCCTTTTCCACTATCCTGCATATGTCTCTTGAGATCTGTCTTTCTTTATTTCATCTAACTAGTAGTTTAAACCTAGATTTATGGAGAATTGGTATGAATCCTTTGATTGTAATCCAGTTCTGTAGTTGTTAGGAAGCAAGTTAATATTTATCCAGATCTTCAGTTTCTAGCCTTCCAGCTATACAGTTAGGTCTGTTAGTTAAATGGTCAAGCTAGTTCTTTGGTTTTGTTTGTAAGATGATTTCTCCATTGGTGTTTGGTCTTGCAGTGGATTTGTGTGTGTGTGTTGACCAAATGTTTATGATGAAATGAATAATATTAGGTGACTGCTATAGACAAAGCCTTTGGACTGTGCATGGACATGTGCAGGATCAGGGCTTCCCATCTTAAGAAGTCTAAGATATCTGCTACCTTTGAATATGAAGTAGATAGCAAAGTTTCAGTATTTCCTTTGAGTAAATATGCTCTAGGTTTTCTCTTGAAGAAATCTGCTCTGATCCAGATTTGGAGTGCTACTGTAAAAAAAAAAAAAATCTGTTGTTGCTTGAGAGTTAAGAATCTAAGGTTTGGGAATGAGACACATCTTTTATTAGTTACCACAGTGCATTTTTAAAATCAAGACATTGTGTTCCCAGTTATGGGATGTCATGAACCACAGGGTGAGCTCTCCTAGTGATAGGCCCTGGGCCTCTACCTCACTTTAAGGGGAGTCCCAAGATTCTACCATTCTTAGATTGAACCACTAGGCTTCAGAACCCTTCTTTCTCACTGTGGCTACTTTAGCAGATCCAATTTGAATTGGGTCCCTGCAGGAGTCTTCTATCTTGGGAGCTTTGTGACCAGAAAATATATCAGTGACACACTGCAGCCTTTTAAAAACAAAGTATTGTTTAATAGTCAACAGGAACGAACTAGTCAGAGTCTTGTATTAAAATAATGAATAAGGCCTACACACATGAGTATTACCTTAACTTTATTCTTTCCTTACAAGTTTTGGGTAAGTTCCACTCAGCCTAGACACCCCTACTCCTGGCCTTGGACAGCCAGCCACTGCAGCATTCTCTCCGGCCTGGTCTACACTTACAATTTAGATTGACCTAGCTATCTTTCTGAATGCCATAGTTAAGCCAACCTAACCCCTGGTGTAGACACAACTAAGTCAATGGAAGAATTACCAGCATTCAGGGAAGTGGATTGCCTGAATTGATGGGAAACCCCTTTCTGTCGATGTAGGAAGCACCTGCACTGCCGTGCTATAACGGCATAGCTGCAACACTTGTAGTATAGACATAGCCTCAGTGCCACTCTGTCAGATACTCCCCTCCAGCCAGTGCTGCCTGCTCACCCGCCTTCCTTTCTAGGCTGGAATCTTTAACAGTTTAGTTCCCTTTGGTGTTAGGTATGGGGCTGGGAAAAATAAAATGGCAAGTCTTGCAGGAGGGCATTTTCCAATAATAATGGCCCCATAGTTCTCTTGAGTACTCTTGGTAATCTCTTGGGAGGTTTTGTCTCCTACTTGTTTTCCCCCAGCAGCTTCCTTTGATTTAACTCTGGGCAGTCATATAGAATAATATCAAGCTGGTAAACTGAGGCATATAATTTTCATAGAAATACAGAAATCTCCACATTTTCCACAAGGGAGGGTGTAAAGAATGTAGATGTAGAACATTTTTGAGGCAAAATATTGTAATTGTAGAAAAAACTTATTGCAATTTCCTGATTTATAGTTTAGGACATCTTTAAAAGGTGTTTGGTATTAAAGGAATAAACAGGTAAGTAGAAGTATCTGCTTATTTTTCTGAATGTACTTCTTCTTCTTTTTTTTTTTTTTGAAAGGTGGCTATCATCCAGTGAAAATTGGAGATCTTTTCAATGGCCGGTATCATGTAATTAGGAAGCTAGGATGGGGACACTTCTCTACAGTTTGGCTATGCTGGGATATGCAGTAAGAGATCTACATATATATATTTGTCTTTAAACTTCTTTTTTCCATTTCTAATCAAGTAAATGCTGATTTGTTATAGGTGCAGTAACTTTTGTTTTAGATACAGGCTGAAGCTATCCACATGTTTTGTTGTGTCTTTGTTGTTGTTTGGTAAACAACTGTATATAGAGCTGTCCACAGTGTTTTTCTCCTTTTGGATAAGGATGTATTTTATAAAACTTGTCAGAAGTTGAAGTCTAAGTTTTATTTTGCTTAACAAATTCTCAGTGCTTATTGAATTCACGTTTTCTTGAGCTGGAGAGCAAGCTAATGTTTTTATTCCTCCTGTATCCTTAATAGTAAACCGATTAAATGGTAAAATAGAATTGAAATTCCTCTTTTAAAGCCATTACCATTTAAAATATTAATAATTCTGTAATTTCAATATTGTAGAAACAATGCATAAAATACAGTTCTAAAGGTATTGTTATTCTCTGTCAGAGTGCACTAAATTATGTGAAATATTTTAACTACTATATTATTGAGAATTTAGGCATTTTCCCCTTAATTTTAAGGTAAAATTACCAAAATTTTCCAGATATAATCCTTTGAAGTATGCTTCATAACATCTTTCAGCTCTGGTCATTTGTTGAATAAGTTTTTATTATTTTCAAGGGGGAAGAGGTTTGTTGCAATGAAAGTTGTAAAAAGTGCCCAGCATTATACAGAGACAGCCTTGGATGAAATTAAGTTGCTCAGATGTGTGAGTATTATATTGAGTCCTCAGTACTAATAATGGTAAATTATGTATAGGTATAATGGAAGTAAATGCTTTCGAACATCATTATTTTCCCTAAATCTGTTTTCTAAATATATGATATTACTTCGTTGTCATTATTTGTAAGGCTCTATAATCTTGTTTAAATTAGTAGAAAAAATGTATTACCCTTCTAAAAAGATGAATTGTTTCCAGTATCTTCTTTCTTTGCTTAGGTTCGTGAAAGTGATCCTAACGATCCAAACAAAGACATGGTTGTACAGTTAATTGATGACTTCAAAATTTCAGGGATGAATGGAATACGTATCCTTTTTTGGCTATTCTTCCTAATTAAGATTAAAATGAAGGGGATAAATGAGTATTTAATTTTTATACATTCATGTCTTAGTGTATGCAGAGTGAAGTCATTTTTCAAAATAAGCTGCTTTCTTTAATTTTTTTTTAAAGTAAAATTTAAGACCATCACAGTGACATTTAGTCATGCACTGTATTACAATGTGTAATTTGCTTTCCCTAGTTTCCCTATAGCTTAATAGTTCTAAATGTAATGAAGAATCAAAGATAAATAAACATTTTAAATTTGTTCCTTGATGAACAGGCTTGCCCACTAGACCATCAGAAGACAGGAATATTTTTTAAAAAGTTGAAATTTTATTTACAGTGGACAATGTTTGTGGTTCTTCTAACCTTTCCAAATAACATAGTTAAGAAACATGTTGTGCATTAGTTAGTGTACTGTACTTCATTATTATTATTATAGATACTGCAGTACATCCAATTAGTGTAGGTAGAAAAAGATTTTTTTCTAAAAACAAACAAGCAATTTATGTTGAAACATTATTAGATTCCAATGTGTGTTACTGTTGTAATATATATATAGAAACTTAAAAAAGAAGGGGTAATCACTCGTTTTAGATAAGGAAGAATCATCAACTAATCAGTTATTTTGTTTCCATCCTTTAAATTGTTTATTAATATAAAATGTGGCTATGTAATTGTCTGGAGTGTTCTTTAATTCCTGTAACTGTCTATAGGAGGGATTCTGAGTGACAAATAAAAAACACTTGGTAACTGTATCTTTATGATGCTTTCTAGAATTATAATCTGTAATGATTCTGATGAAAAGCCATATAGTAAAATATAGTAAGGATAGGAAATAATAAATGTGGAAGACTGGATAGATTAGAGAATTGGTAATAGGGTCTGGAGCCTTTTACCTCTAAATCATTCGTTGAAATCCAGCCCAGAGCGGTAGTGAGTTTATGTTCCTCCTGTCTGATGGAGGCCAGTGGGGAGATCCCGAGTTGGCTCCTGAAGAAGGTGGTATGTGTCTCCTACTGAGAGGTGTAAGTACATGGAGTTTCTCCTGTTGCTTCATTGGTCAACAATGTATAGAAAGGATGTAGAGAAACTAGAGAGGATTCAGAGGCAAGTGACAAAGATGATCAAAGGGATGGAATGCAAGCGATATGAGCAAAGGCTGAAAGAACTGAGTGTGTTTAGTTTGGAAAAGAGGAGATTAAGCGGGGACATGATAGCGGTCTTCAAATATTTGACAGGCTGCCATAAAAAAGATCGAGAAAAGTTCTCTTGTCATGGAGGACATGACAAGAGGCAGTGGGTTCAAACTACAACATAGCAGATTTAGATTAAATTTCAGGAAAAACTTCCTAACTATAAGAACCTTGGAGCAGATTGCCTAGGGAGGTTTTCAAGAGGAGGCTAGATAGCCATCTGTCTTGGATGGTTTAGACACAACAAATCCTGCATCTTGGCAGGGGGTTAGAACAGATTACCCTTGTGGTCCCATCTAACCCTATGAATCTATGATTCTAAATAATTTAAAATACACTAGAAATAAGGGATACTTTTAGAAATTTTATTTTTACTGTTCTACAGTGAAAATGAAAACAAAAAAGAATCTCTTTCATTTTCTTTTTTTAAATATAGCTACTAGTTTTTTAATATATAGCTACTAGTTAATCTTTTACTGGTAGAACATACCATTTCCAATGGAATGGTGGTATTATAGTTACTTTAAAGGTTATTGACAAAAATTGCATCATTAAAATATTGATTATTCGGTTCATCATCTAGGGCCTGATTTGCAAATATTTATGTACATGTTAACTTTAAGCATCTGAGTAGTCCCATTGAAATCAGACTACTCATGTGCTTAACATTGAGCATAAAAGTTGTGTTTACAAGACTGAGGCTTGCATTATATTTTTATCAGTTAAAGAATCAATTTGAAAGCACTTAGAGGATAATAGGGTGATAAGTAGTAGCCAAAAAATGGTTACCTACCTTTTGTAACTGTTGGTATAGATAGAATATCAGGGTTGGAAGGGATCTCAGGAGGTCATCTAGTCCAACCCCCTGCTCAAAGCAGGACCAATCCCCAACTATTTTTTTTGCCCCAGATTCCTAAATGGCCCCCTCAAGGATTGAACTCATAACCCTGGGTTTAGCAGACCAATGCTTAAACCACTGAGCGATGTGTTGCTCATGTCCATTCCATGCTAGATGCGTGTGCACCCACGTGCACGGTCGTTGGAGATTTTTGCCTTAGCAGTATCCGTAGGGTCAGCTGTGGCGCCCTCTGGAGTGCTGCACTCATGTGGCGGTGTATCAGGCACTGCCAGCCCTATGCTCTCTCAGGCTTGGTCTACACTAAACCCCCAAATCGAACTAAGGTACGCAACTTCATCTACATGAATAACGTAGCTGAAGTTCGAAGTACCTTAGTTCGAACTTACCTCGGTCCACACGCGGCAGGCAGGCTCCCCAGTCGACTCCGCGGTACTCCTCTCGCCGAGCTGGAGTACCGCAGTCGACGGCGAGCACTTCCGGGTTCGACTTATCGCGTCCAGACAAGACGCGATAAGTCGAACCCAGAAGTTCGATTGCCAGCCGCCGAACTAGCGGCTGGGTATAGACATACCCTGAGTTCCTTCTTACCACCCGGTGTGGTTAGTCAGAGCGCCTTTCCTTGCTTATCAAGGGCTAGCGGTTTTTCTTGTCTTACTGACTTCAAGTCTTAGGGCCTTTGTAAATAGTTCGTTTATAGTAATTAATTATGTAGTTGTTAAGTATAGTTGATAGTTAGAAGTTAGTGGGGACTTTACCCCAGGCGGGTCATGCCCCGGTCTCCCGGGTTTAAGCCCTGTGTGGACTGCAACAGGTCTATTCCTGTGAGTGACCCCCATAGCAGCTGTCTTAAGTGCTTGTGGGAATTGCACGTCATGGATTGGTGCCGGATCTGTAAGAACTTTCATCCCAGAACCCAGAGGGAGCGTGACATTCATATGACAGCTCTCCTGATGGAGCACGCCCTTCGCCCGGCTTCTGAGCCGTCCTGCCAGGTTGCACCGAGCACCTTGGCCTCTAGACGCACTGTGCCACTGGCACTGGGTTGTACCCAGCACCACTCCCCATCACCGGTGTTTAAGAAGAAAACGAAAAAGCACAACTCCCCGGCACCGAGGAAGAAGGCCCGGGGTCATCTAGTAAGGGACCTGGGCCAGGCCACTCCTGAGCCACGTGTTCATGCCTCTCCGGTTGGAGCCACTAGCCTCTTAAAAGATCCGCCTTTGACTCTCGAGAGTGGTATGGGATTCAAACTCCTGCCAGAACCGTCGTCCTCCCAGCCTCCCCTGACGCTGAGAGAGCACAGGTCTCCGCCCATGCTGCTGATGACACAGGTGCCACAGGACTCACCTAAGGCTCCCCAAGAGGGTAAGCCAGCCTCTAAGACCCCTCAAGGGGCAGTGGGCCGCCGCTGATGGCCTGAAACAAAGCAGCGATCCTCTCTGCCACATCCTGGATTCCAGGAGTCACAGTCCAGGTCTGGAACTTGTCTTTGGTCATCGAGACCAAGATCGAGATCTCGACGCGACTCGCATACTGCTGTTGGCGCAAATCCTCCTTTCGGTTGTCCTCTCAGTGCTGGTCCCAATCACCTGTGCCACGGGAGTGCTTCCCATCTTGGCTCAGGTCTCCCCAGAGAGGTTGGGGCAGAGGAAACTACTCCCATCCCTAAGCCTCCTTCTCCGGTGGTGGATGAAACCCTGGGTGCTGCTCAGTCATCCTTGTCACTGGACGAGGCGGTTGCGGGACCCTCGAGGGCCAGCCCGCCGGACGATTTTAAGGAACATCAGGCTCTACTTCGGCGGGTGGCTGAGAATTTGACCTTGGAGGTGCAGAAAATGGCAGAACAGGAGGACACCCTCTTCAATGTCCTCTTGGCCTCTACCCCAGCCCAGGTTGCGCAAGCTTGCTGAGTCAGTGCATAATGAGACGCGAATGTGTGGCCAGATGCCCAAGTAGCAGCCCAATAGATCTCTTGGATTGGTACCTGTTCCAGGAAGGCTGCGATTACACCTGTGCCCTCGTCGAGTGTGCTGTCACAATTGCCGGCAGAGGCACCTTTGCCAGCTCATAGCAATAGTGGCTGCAGGCTGTGATCCAGGACAAGATTTTCTGGGCAGACACAGGGCGACCTTTCATCCTGTCTGCGACAGCAACAAACAACTGCATTGACTTATGGAACGGCTTTGTTCTATCTGTGTAGAAGGCCAGCACCCATCTGACGTCTAGGGACTGCAGCCTGCGTTCCTCATCTGTTGCATGACGCTTGGGACAGAAAACTGGTAAGTATATTCCCTGACCAATATGAAACTGGGAAACTACTTTGGGCAAAAAAGCCGGTGCAGGCTCAGCTGGACCTTGTTCTTGTAAAAGGCTGTATAGGGTGGCTCCGAGGTGAGCGCTCTGATCTCAGACATCCTGCAGGTTGATGCTATGGAGACCAAGAAATAAACTTTCCAGGAGAGAACAGGAAGCCAAGGGTTCGAAGGGAGGACCCATGAGCCTGGACAGCACAAGATTCAGGTCCCAAGGGACCTGTACCCTTGCTAAGTGGTATCATAGAGGATCATAGAGTGATAAGTAGTAGCCAACATGGATTTGTCAACAAATAATCATGCTAAACCAACCTGATTCCCTTCTTTGACAGGGTTTCTGGCCTAGTGGATGGGGGGAAATAATCAACACAATAAATCTTGATTTTAGCAAGACTTTTGACAGTCCCACATGACATTCTCATAAGCAAACTAGGCAAATGTGGTCTAGCTGCAATTACTAGAAGAAGGGTGCACAATTACTGTAGTTGAAAAACCATATTCCAAGAGTAGTTATTGATGGTTTGCAGTCAAACTGGGAGGACATATCTAGTGGGTCCTGGATCCAGTACTATTCAAATATAGTAGCTTGAATGATGTAGTGGAGAGTTCACTTATAACATTTGCAAATGATGCCAAGCTGGGAGGACTTTAGAGGACAAGAATAGAATTGAAAATGACCTTGATAAATTGGAGAATTGTCTGAAATCAATTAGATGAAATTCAATAATGACAAGAACAAAGACTACACATAGAAAGGAAAATCAGATGCACAACTAGAAAATGGGGAATACCTGGCTAGATGGTAGTACTGCAGAATGGGATCTGGGGGTTTCACAAACTGAATATGAGCCAGCAATATGACACAGTTGCAAAAGACTGATAAAATTCTGGGGTATATTAACAAAAATGTCATATGTCAGACATAGGAGGTAATTGTGCATAGTAGAGTGGAACTGGTGAGGCCTCATCTGGAGAATTGTGCCCAGTTTTGAGGACCACACTTTAAGAAAGATGTGGACAAACTGGAGAGAGTCCAGAGTGGAGCAATAAAAATAATAAAAGGTTTAGAAAACGTAATCTATGATGAAATGTTAAAAATGGTCATGTTTAGTCTTAAGAAAAGAAATCTGAGCAGGAACCTGATAAGTCTTCAAATATGTTAAGGGCTGTTATAAAGAGATGGTGATCAGTTGTTCCCCGTGCCCATGAGGATAGGACAAGAAGTAATGGACTTAAACAGCAGCAAGGAAGATTTAGGTTAGATATTAGGAAAACTTTCTTTCTATAAGGATAGTTAAGTACTGGAATAGTTACCGAGGGAGGTTGTGGAATCCCTGTCACTGGAGTTTTTAAGAACAAGTTAGACACCTGTCAGAGATGATCTAAGTATATATAATCCTGCCTCAGCTTGGGTGGACAGACTAGATGACTTTTCAAGGTCACTGCCAGCCCTGCATTTCTATGATGCTATGATTTTCATTCTGTTCATGAGGACTATTTTTTTAGAGGGACAATGGGCACTTTAGCTAAAGTGCAAAAAAGTATTATGGTTGAGCTAAATAAGAAGTTACTTTGTAATTATCCTTATTTAAATCCCAGATGTCTGTATGGTCTTTGAAGTTCTTGGACATCATCTCTTAAAATGGATAATCAAATCCAACTATCAAGGACTTCCTATCCGTTGCGTAAAAAGTATAATTCGACAGGTAAGATTTGCTAATGTTTTAATTTTTTTCTACAGTGTTGCTTTACTTTAATGTTAATGTGTTGATACTTCAACTGCAGATCATACTAGGAAATATACAGTAGGTATTAATTTCATGGGTGTTCCCATAGGTAGCTGTTGAGAGTATCTTTTCCTATAACATGCATTTGTTTGTGTAGATACTCCATTGGCTACTGAGCTCTTTCACAAAACATATGCTTAAATTTTTAAGTCAATCTGTTTCTTACAAATTTAAGAGTATTTGAAAATAAGGAAATCAGTTTTCTTGATTAATAAATCGACCACAATTTCATCTTTCATATTGAGCCACCTTCAGAATATACAACACAAGATCAATGGAAAATAATATAAACATAATTTTTAAAAAATTAATACCGATTGCATCTCTGTCTGAAAAACAGATCCTCAGGAGATATACATTAAAAAGCCAAGGACAGGATTTTCAAAAGTATCCAAATGATTTAGGAGCATAGATCTAAAGATGATTAGGCACTTTTGAAATTCCCACTATTAGAGTTCTCTCTCATATGTGCATTCCTACATTGCACCATACAAACCAAATTGCTGGGGAGATGATCTTACAGAAGTGATGTGCCAGAGAGGGAAAAGATCAGACATATTATCTTATTGTTACAGCCCTACCAAATTCATGATCCATTTTGGTAAATTTCATGGTCATGGGATTTAAAAAAATCATAAATTTCATGATTTCAGCTCTTTAAATCTGAAATTTCACGGTGTTGTAATTATAGGGGTCCTGACCCAAAAAGGAGTTGTGGGTGGTCACAGTGTTTTTGTAGGGGGAGTTGCGGTACTGCTACCCTTCTGTGCTGCTGCTGGCAGCGGCACTGCCTTCAGAGCTGGACAGTTGGAGAGCGGTGGCTGCTGGCCAGGATCCCAGCTCTGAAAGCAGATGTCATGGTATGGTATTGCCACCCATACTTCTGCGCTGCTGCTGCTGCTTGCAGAGCTGGGCCCTCCATCAGCAGCTGCCACGCTCCAGCTTCCCAGCTCTGAAGGCAGCAGAGCAGAAAAAAGGATGGCATGGCATGACATGGTATACTATTGCCATCCTTACTTCTGCACTGCTGCTGGCAGGGCAGTGCCTTCAGAGCTGGGTGCCGGGCCAACAGCCGCCGCTCTTCAGCTGCCCAGCTCTGAAGGCAGCATAGTAGGGTGGCAATACTGCGACCCCCCTAAAACAACTTTGTGACCCCCCCCCCCCCGCCAACTCCCTTTTGGGACAGGACCTGCAATTTGAGAAACTTTGGTCTCCCCTGTGAAATCTGTATAGTATAGGATAAAAGTACATAAGACTAGTTTTCACAGTCTGTGGCATGTTTTTCATGGCCGTGTATTTGGTAACACATTCATTGTGTTTTTTTGGTAGATCATTATATCAAAATTAGTGATGGTCCAGATCTGGATGATTTCCAGGATGACCAAAGTCTGTGATGCCAAGTAGTTTTTTGCAGTTTTGCACTTATGTAAATTGCTAATATCAACACTGTTTTTTATTGTATTATTTTTAAATAATCAATCTTTTGAAATAATTCTTCCAAATTGTTTTCCCCAAATTTCTTGCCATATTTGAACTGACATGTCTCAACATTTAATTAAACAGCCTGAGTGAAACAGAGGCCCTGATGCTGCATCTTCTAGTATAGGGGTGAAACCTTATGCTCATATAGTCAGTTGTAGAGTGAGAGCCAAAATTATTTGCTAAACAGCAGCCTAAGATGGGTCAGTGTAAGGAGTGATCCGCTTTAATTTTTTTAAAATCAGTAATGCAGTATTTGATAGATACATATTTCTAAAATAAATTAAATCCAGTGATTCAAATATCACAAAGCTTTTTTATAACTTTTATCCTTATATGATTTGAATAAGGAAAAGATACATGAAATTTCAATTAAGACAAGTGTAATACAATAAGGTATTGTACATATAAACAATACAAAATATAATTAAATTATAATTGAATATGAAGGGAAAAGAAGTGAAGAACAAAACAAAAGGAAACTGAATACAAGGGGAGATGTAGGAATCTGTATAAAAATGCTTTCTGCAAGGATACCACCTGTGCAGGATTCTCACTACTTGCTCTCAGTTTCTTAAAATGATGCATATATTCTCCAAGCTTCTCAAGGTGTTTTGGCTTTGAACTTTCTACTCAGTTCTTTCTTGACCACAGACAGCAAAGTAGCTCCTTATGTGAGCTCTACCATGTCAGATGCCTCTCCAGCTCTGTATCCCATTGCAGTTTTGCAGTGCTTTAGGTAACCTTTAAAGAATGTCCTTGCCTTCCAGTCATGTGTGATTGTTTATTTCAAACTAGTGGTTCATGACTCTCTGTGTTCAGGAACATGAGCCAGGCTCCATCCTCTGCACTCACAAGTTCTGCTCTTTTTAGCTTGATCTTTTAGCTTTGGAACTTCGGCTTGTGAGTCCTTGATTTCTTCACAGTGCTTTGCCTCCTTTTAGCCTCAAAAGGTTTCAGCTCTTTTTACCTTCAGGAGGTCTCAGCGGATTTTCACTGCAAGACTTGAAGGCTGTGTTCATACGTTGATGGCTTCTACTTAGTCACAGAGCAGCCATCAGATTTCTGTGACACTACATGTGCCCACTAGTTAGTCACTTTC